GCTGATAAGAAAGGGTAGGTGACAGAGAATTATGATGAAAGATGTATGATCATTGTAAATGGAGTCAGCAATTTCTCATTTCACAAAAAATAATACACTGATTTAAGAGATAAATTTATAAGACTCTCATATGGAAATGTAGAAAAGAATGTTGATGAAATAACAAAGTTATTAATGGATTTAGATTAAGATGTTGGTAAATCAATTATAGCAAGAGATACAAAAAGTAATCATTATTTGGAGAAGTTATTGGTTGGTTTGTTGGGAAATCCATTATAATTGATAAGAGATTAAGCAGTAATTTTATTGAATATTTTATATGATGGTGTTGATTGGTAAAAAAGAGTACCTTTTAAACCAAAAATTACAAAAGTTGGATCTAAATTTGATATTCAATACTTATTTGAATATGATTCATCCTATCCCTTAAGTTCAATTGTTATTCTCTTAAAGAGTTATATATTTGATTCTGGATGTAAATAAAATATAGTATCATGGCACAAACCAAAATTAAGTGAATATAGTAGTTAAGGTGATAAAAAATATATGGCATTTAAGATGGATTTTGGTAGATTCAAGAGATGCGGTTTTTATGATTGGAAGTTAATTAGAATGACAAATTCTGGTAAATTATAGAGTATTCAAAAAATTATGAATTTGGATGAATTGAAAAGTAATGTTGAAATTACATCACTTCAGATGATGGAAGCAAAACCAATTCAAGGAAGATTTATAGTTCATCCTAGAGATTCTAAGAATTTATAAATCCATGAAATTTATGTTGATTTATTAGATGCAAAACCAGATAATTAAGGTAAGTTCACAAAGAGGGGAAATTTTAGAAAGGTTCGTGAAAAAATACCTGATTTAGTATAATAAGGAATTAATTGTGTTTATTTAATGGGTACTTTAGAAAGAGATAATGGTTTAATGATTGATTAAGACAAATAATAAAAATTGTTTAAAAGACCAGAGGTCAGTCCATTGGCTATCACTTGTAGATTAACACCTAATTAAATGTTGGGAGGAAAAGAAGAATTTATGTAATTAAATAAAGTTGCTTAATAAAATAAATTAAGAATTATAGTAGATATGGTTACACGTATAAGTAGTGCAAGACCACATAGAAAATACAGAAAAGATTTGGTTTATAGATTAGATGAATAAGGAAGATAAGTAGCTATGTTTGGAACTGATGGAAGATCTTTGCATTTTGAAGATACAATAATTTTGAACAATAGAAAAAAGAGAGTTTGGGATGTGTTATTAGAAGAAATGATTGAATTAACAACATAATATAATATTCAAGGAGTTCATTTAGATAATGGATCTTCATGGCCATAAGTATTTTCTCTAGATTTAGATGAAATGTATAGAAAGGACAGTGATGGAAATCAAGCTTATTCTAATAAATAAATCTTTAATGGAGAAATTTGTTTATAAAATGAGGATTGTGGTTATTGGGGTTCAAGTGTTAAAAATTTGTATCCAAATCCATTTTTAGTAAAGATCTGTAAATCGTTATGGAGTAAGTTTCCTAATTTTTTAATTGTGGCAGAAGCTTGGGGTGCAATGGGAGAATAAGAAGAAAGGGAAATTAATCTTATTTAAAGTGGTGTGATTCCTAGATTATTTAAATTACCAATAGCTATTGCATCAATATTTGGAGAGAATTTAAAGAAGGATGGTACAATGGTAAAAATGGAGAGAAAAAATGTTAATGCAATTAAAAAATGGATAGAATATACAGCTAAATAATATCCATCTGGTAGTATCATAGTTTAAAGTACAACTTATAACTCATGGCCTTATCCTGCTTTAATTTATAAGCGAGGTACATGGGCAGCTGTAGATTTATTTTTTACTTTATAAGATATTCCTATGACTTTTATGGGAGAAGAAGAAGGATTTGCATTTCGTGAAAAAACAACTAATGTGTTCAATTATGTAACAAAACATGAAAGTTCAGAAATAAAGTTGTAAGATCCAACATAATAAAAAACACCATAGAGATCACTCAAAAGAGCAGAATCTTATGTATAAGTTAATGAAGATTATGGATTTGGATATAATACATTAACACATTAAGTTTAATTATAGATTGCTTAATCTCCTGCAAGACCCAATAATAATGGTTAACCTATAAGAGTGTAAAGTGGTTCATCTTTATCGTAGATGGATATTTCTAATATTGCAACAGCTTAAGAGAATTTTAGAAGAGAAGTAGGACCATAATTTGGATTTGATTTATAATAGATTGGAAAACATTATATACATATTCGATAAATGAGAAAACAACATAAAGTTTTAAGAAATGGTCAGATGGTATCATTATCTGCTGAACATATGTATGGTTGGCATACACATGTATTAGCATTTGCTAGATATTCAAAAGATGAAATGGCATTAATTGCTATCAATTTTAATGATGGTGAAATTGATATGTTTATGAATCTTAGAAATTTAAGATATTATTTTCCTAATTCTGAGAGATCAAACATTGTTGTAAGATTAAGAAATTGGTCATATCCTGAATTGGAGAATGAAGAAGTAAGCTATTTTTATATTGGCAACTTTTTGACATCAAGATTAGAGGTTCATTTAAAGAACTTTCAATCTTAAATTTGGGGTGTTGAAATCTTGGGTAACTCTTAGGAGGTCTAATAAAAAGCATAGAAAAGTGCATTGATTAGATTGTAATAAAAAATGTAATCAAAAATACCATTAACTATTTATGGTAATGATGCTGCAAATAAGTTAACATTATTAACAGACAACTTAAATTCTTTGTAATAATTTATTAATGGATTTTCTCACTATTATACTTAAGTGATTAAACCAAACAACTTTGATTTAAATAGGTTAATTAGTTCAATGAAGGATTTCTAATCAAATAAAGTGAGATTATGTAAATTATTTGCATTCTTTTAATCAATACTTGGAACTTAAGACAAAAACCTGCCTTTTTATGATACACTATAACAATTAATTAATCTAAATAAATTAGGTCCCATATGTTTTTGTACTCCAGAATTAGGCAAATGGACTACAACTGGTGGATTGGGAGTTATGGTAGATGAATTAACATAAGAATTAGCTAAAATGAATGAAGAAGTTATTTTGATCACTCCTTATTATCATAGAAATAAAAAAGGGGATACAGGATATATTCTTAGTGATGGATTCAAACACATTAGAAATATCGAAATTTGGTTGTAAGGTGAAAAAGTAATTTTGGGAGTTTTTGAAGGAGTTTTTAATGGAGTAAGATTGTTTTGGTTACATAATGAGCAATATTTCCCTTCTGCATATGCAGGGGAAGATGCTAGTTATGTTATGAAATAATTAACAGTCTATGCTAAAGGATGTCTAGAATTGTTATGTTAAATTAAACTTATCCCTTCATTAATTGTCACTAACGATTGGTTCTGTGGGTTAATTCCAGGATATCTTAGAATAAGAAGATATGGAGAAGCCTTCGTTGGTACGAAATCATTTCACATTGTCCACAATTTGGATCCATTATATGAAGGAAGGCTATATCCTAAACCAAATGAAGGAACATTAGATTATATTCATGAACTTCCTAACGATTTCTTAATTGATCCATTCTGGTAGAATTTAGTTATAAATCCATCCAGATGCCCATTAATCACATGTGATAATTGGGGAACAGTCTCTTAATCCTATAAATATGAGTTATTAGAATCCTCTCCATTAGCAAGTGTGTTAAGAAAACATCCTCTACCTTTTGCCTTTCCTAATGGCATAAGAAGAGAATAAAGATTCAAAGTAATAATGGATAAAACAAATAATGATCATTTAAAAGCAAAAGAATAATTGCAAAAGAAATATTTTGGCTGTTCCTAACTTGAAAATCATATAGTTGTGCTAGGTTTTGTAGGTAGAGTCACTAAATAAAAGGGAGTACATCTCATCTTGGAAGTTGCAGAAGAACTCATATAAAGAAGTCAAGGCACTGTATAGATATTAGTTGGAGGACCTGCTGATATGAAAGAAGAATACAGTGCATTTTGTGCTTAGAATATGATTAGATTAAAATCTATATATCCGAGAAATTTCTGGGCTGATCCATCTGCATTCTTTATGGATGGTACTTTAGTGAATGTTGGTTGTGACTTTGGTTTAATGCCATCATTATTTGAACCTGGAGGTATAGTTTAACATGAATTCTTTATTGGAAGTACTCCAGTTATTGCTTTTAAAACTGGTGGTTTAAGAGACACAGTTCATGAATATGATTAGAAATAACAAAAAGGATCAGGATTTATTTTTGATGCTTATAATCGAGGAAATTTCCTTTATGCTATAGACAGAGCTCTTTAATTATATAAGAATTAAGAGTAGTATTCTTAACTTAGAAAAAATGCTTTTGATGCAGCCATCGATGTTGCTGATGTGAGTAGAGCATGGGCTTAGGAATATTATAGGTTATTTGATAAGAACTTTATTGATAAGGAATTAGTTTAATAAATGGTTGGACAAATTCAATAAGATTATAAAGAATTAAAAGAACAAGAGCTTTTTACAAAAGAAGAAGGAAGAGTAAGAAATTTAAAATAAATATCTAGGTATTTTCTAATTCTGACAAAACACTAAAGAATTTTGAAAGAATTCTAGCTCATGCAAAGAGATCCAATTTGAGATTGCATTAATTTGTGTATCGATCCACTAGATTATTGTAACCAAGATAAGTAGCTGTATCTGGTTCATTTGATGAATGGAAGGAGAAACACAAACTCAAATTTGATCATTTCTCCAAAGTATGGAATGTTACTCTGAAATTGCTTCCTGGAGAATATTAGTATTAAATTAATAATATTATAGTTACAAATTCTACGTTGATGGAGAATGGATTTGCACAGATGATGATCTTAAAGATAATGATATCTATGGAAATATAAATAATTTTGTTATCATCTAATGAGTGATATGAATAATCATATAATAATAAATATCAATTATGAATAATAATTCATTCAAATTTCATTCTATTTATAGTTTAATTCAATATTTAAATCACTTATTAAATTCTGCTCTTCTTCCAATAACAGCATATCTCCATTATTATCAATCATTCCAAATTATTTGACCTTTCTTTATTATTATGGAGGAGAATCCATAATGTCTTCAGATAATGATTCTCTTATTTGTCTTCTTGGAGGAATAATATTTTCGATATCATCCATTTCTTCCACTTTCAAATCTTCAAATGGTTGTACTTCTTCCATCTATCCAGACTCTTAAGACTAATTTTTATCTGAACTAACTTTATCTGATTGTTCTTTTAAAAACTACATTAATCTAGTATTATTCAATTCTCTCATCTATTCTTATCCTCCATTTGAAAATTCTATACAACTTTCAAAAACATCTAATCTTTCTGTACTGCATTTAGTTGAACACATTCTACTCGATCTTCTCATTTAATTAGTTTCTTGTTATCAATATGGAATTTTACTCTCTCTTTTTTATCTTCGTTATAAGAAATTGTTATCTTGTCTTTTTAAGTCCTCTTCAATCACCTTTAAATTTTAATTCTAAGTTTATTGATATCCTGTTATCATATTTTCTAAACTATTCTAATTGCATTCAATTTAATCTTAAATTTCCATAGCTATCTTTGCCTTTGTCTATCGTTCTCTCTTCTTCTACTCTACACACACTACTTACTTTCTATTATTTTATATTCATACTTTCGCTTTTGCACTCTCTTAACTATTTTCAATACTTCTTATTTCTTAAATAATCAAACTTTGAGAATGTAAAGGCACAAATGTACCTTAATCTTGATTTATTTTACGAATGGTCTTCAAAGCTCTTTAACATGCAAACAATGATTACAATTTCTCATTGAAATAATATCCCACTGGGTCCTACTTTCGATGTTATTTATTACTTGAATACTGTCATAATGTTCTATTAAAACAGCATATAAATCAATTAATTTTTGAATCACATCATATTTGTCTGACCCTTTTTAGTATCGATCTTCAAAGGCGAGTAACTCTTAAAATAGATCATCTATTTAATAAGGTATCGAGAAGTACTCGTAATTGGCATTGTTGTTTTAATTAAAATTAATTATTTATACTTTCAAATTCAAATTCCATCACTTTTCCTTCACTTTTTCCCTTTACCTTTTTTCTTAATTATTTTATCCAAATCTCTAACCTCTATATTTATTGTAAACTTATTGTAAACCACTTCAATAAGAATAAAAATTATGAAAATTTTAACAGTAACTTGGATTTATTATCTGGACCTTTATAATCAAAATCGAATTAAATTCTAATTACAATTAAAATAGCTATTTCCAAAATTTTAGCAAATTATATTTAAAATTTGTATCGATAAGTTCAAATTTCTACTTAATTTTAGAGTCTCTAGTTAAAAACTATTATTTTTTCCGTAGAATTATTAATATGTTAGGTCTTTGCTGAAATTTTATAACATAATTTTTAGGTTTTATTATATCTGATAATAACATTATTTACATGCTAAATTGAAATTCTATGTCATTATGGTAATTTTTGTTCAGATAACAATTTTCATTGTTTTAGATTTAAACATTCTGTAATAAAAAATATATATAAAAGTCTCAATTATTCAATTTTCATTTAATTTTGATAGAATATCTAAATATATCAAAAAAATTATCAAGTTGAAATTATAAAAATTTTTCTAAGGGGAAACAAATTTTTATTTATCCAAATAATAATATTCATTAATAAATTTAGAATTTGTTTCTTACATTTTGATAAATTTTTGATTGAATAGTAAAACATACTTTTGTGAATATTTAATGTATCTCGATTGAATTCTAACTTATACTAGTCGATTCTTTTTTTAAATTTATCTTCAGAAATTCAGGATTATTTGAATGTCTGAAAAAAATTGATTAAATAATTCTTTCAGATTCCATTCATTTTATCAAAAGTCCTCAATTAATTAATGATATCATATTGTATTATTAAACAATTTTTTAGTGTTTAATTCATCTATTAATTGAAATATTTTGATAATTATCTGTTCATAAATTAATAATCATCATTCAGTTTTAAAAACGCTATTTCATGTATGGAATTGAAAATTTCAATATCTTCTCTTTATTATCTTTTATATACTATATCAAAACCTTAACAAAGACTACTCTCAAAAAATCTCTTCCCTTTTCCTTATTTTACAATACATAAATTGCAATAACCTTTTTATTATGGAGTATTCGAACAATTACAGAATAAATTCTTCGAATTGATTTATATTGAAATCCTTAAGTGTAAGAAGACATATTCTGAAAAGAAAAAGGGAAGGTTTCACTATCTATCATAATTATTTGTAATATGTCCTAAGCCTGAAGAACTCAAATTAAAACCAAGTTTACAGATAAATATTTAAATGATCTTTAATTAAATTTATTAAATGTTAATAAAAATTGTTATTGAATTTGATTATTAAAATTAACTGCTTTTGATAACGAAAAATTGAATCTTACCTATCTTCTTGTGATCTATCCAATTTTTCCGATTATTTTTATAGTTTACTTTATAGCAAAAAAATTAAATAATCGATTTGACAGACAAATTATAATCCTAAAAACATGTGGACATTTTTATCATTTCTTTGCAAAAAGTCTTGAAAAAGAGAAGCTTAATTAGAAGATAAGTTAAATTTTAATGAATTTAGAAAGTAACCTTAAAACAGGTTTTTTTATTCACCCTGTCTATAGTAGCTGAAATCCTATCTCAATACAAGAAGAGTTGAGATAAAACTACTATATATATATTGTTTAGATAATGAGAGCAATTAAATTTTCTGCTCCATTGTTTTAGAACTTTGACAAGTACTCGTTCTCTTGCTTTTGCACTCCTACTAATTTTTAATTCTCTATATTTTATTAAAATAGTAAGCTATGTTCAGCCTCTTGTCTTCTCTTTAATTTTTGAAAAAGCTTTGATATCTATAAAGAATAAATACCTTATTATTATTTTAATCTTATCATCTAAAATTTATATAATCTAAATTTAAATTCGCAAAATAATAATAATTAAAATATAATTCAATAATCGATGTGTTTTTGTAAAATATATTTAGTTATTTAAAGTGAAAATATTTTTACTATAAAAGATGGATCGAATTGAGTTTAATCAATATAAATATAAAATATTAATAAATTTTGCAAAAAATGAAATAACTTTAGAAGTGAAAAAAATCTATAATTTTTTCATTTACATTTTTGTTTTATTCAGATTTTTGGAAATCGATTATCAATTTTACAATATATGTTCATATAAATATGTATGGACACCCAATAAAAAAACATAGATAATGAGCATACTATATATTAAATTTATGAAAGTTCAAATGGAACAAAGATACCTATAAATATCCAATTAGTGATAAAAACATAAAACACTTTTAATTTACTATCGCTATATTATAAAACACAAGAGTGCAGTATACCAGATGAAATTCCAAAATTATAAAGAGGACTAAAAATTAATTATATTCTTACACTTGAATCCCTATATATGCTAATATGATTCCTCCTGATACATAACAAATATATAAAATGGATATAATAAGCTTTAAGCAATTTTTAAATTTATTGCTAAAGAATAGTATTTCAATATGTAGTATGAAAAAAACAGCCATCAAAGCAATTAAATAAGTCGATTAATCATAAATTATAAACACTAGCATTCCAAAAATGCAAGGTAACATAAGAGTAATTAATAATGCTCTAAAAAATAATAATCTTTGATTATTTTGATAATTGTCAAAATTTTTTTCATTTATTTAGTTAAAGAACTAAAATGTCCATCCGTTAAAAAATTTTTTCATCTTTATGTATTTATTACAAAATCTTTATCAAAAAATTAAAATATCATTCGTTCTAATTAAATTATAAAACATATATATTATAAATTATTAATACAACAAATATACGAATTAAATAATACAATTATCGTTTTTAACAATATTTTTTGGTCAAATTTGTTATTGTGAATTGAAATGGCTAAATCGTAAACAAGATTATTTAAATATAAATTGAATCTTTAATGTAGTCTTACAAATATAATAAAAATTATACTCTCGTTTAAATCATTTTTTGGTTACTTTGATTTGAAAATTTTGTTGAGAAAGAACTTAATTTAAATATTAATGATTCATAAAAATAAGTTTAAGATTGCAAAAATATATTTGAAAGATAAAGATATTTGAAGTATAAATTGAAATTTATATCGTAAATTATATAGCTGTATTAAATTATCAAAGATTTAATAAATCAACATATTTAGTAAAAGATGGATCTAATTGAGTTTAATCAGTATAAATATAAAATATTAATGTTGTCTGATGATTTGAAAAATTCTATTAATAAATGGTTTTAGTTTAGATAGAATTATAAGGACTTAAGATCTTTAAAATGATTTGATTCACAATACATTCAATTTCTAATGATTTTTAAGAATCTATATCAATTGATTAATAAAACTGAGTTTCTATATTTTCTATTTAATCTTTATGTTCAAAAATGTAAGAAAATTACATTAATTAAAGCTGTTGATTACTGTTATAATTTTTATCATTTTAATATTGATTTTATATTTATTTCCTATCAATTTATAATTAAATACAGCTCCTAGGTTCAGATATCTTTAAAATCTTATTAAAGCAATTCATTAATAGTTAAGTTAATAATCTCGTATTTAAATATATCTATTATTATCCTACTTCACTCAAATAAATAAATTAGAATTATTTATTATATTACTTACTATAGTGATGAAAATATTCAGACAAAGCACCTATTAACTTTTCAATGATAAATAATTCAAATTATTATTTTAAAAATGACATTTTACTTTTTTATAAGTAAATCATATAATTTTTCAAATATATTAATGAATATTAAATATTGCATTACTATTCTTTAATAAGTTCATTATTTTATCCAAGATTATCATTTAGTTTTAGTATTTATTTATATAACCTTTCTAATCTATGACCAATTAATATAAGCACAGATTAAAAAATTTCATTTAAGTATTTTATTTTTTTTTCATATTTTTCTATTTAAAGTTTTGCTTAATTTTCTTTAATTGAGAGAAAGAAGACTGTTTAATGATTTTCAAATTTCAAAACATCAATTAAATATTTTTCTTTTCCATTATTAGTTTCAATTTAAAATCTTTCTTGATTAAACTAATCATCTTTTTATTAAATTAAATCAAATAAATATTCTTCTAAATTGATTTATTTATGTATTTATTTATTATTTAAACTTCTATTTGAATTTTAGTTATTTCTATTTATTATTTATTAACTTCTTAAAAAATCTTTTACATTGTTTTCATTTAAATCAGTCTTATATTAAATTTCAAATTTTTTATTAGCAAATGAAAGCTAAAAACTTCTTGTTTTTTCATTATAAATAATAGCAAATAAAGAATCATTTGAAAACTCATATAAAATTGATCTAAATTTTATTTCAATCTTTACTTTTATGTTTTAAGTTGTTAACTAAATAAAAATTATGATCTTCTATTATGTTCAATTAAATATGTCATGATACTTAGTAAAATAAACATAGATATTGAAAATACTAAGTATTATATTTGATCAAGTTCAAACTGAACAAATAATGCTAAAGCCATCCAATTAGTGATAAAAACATATGCTACTTTGAACTTATTGTCGCAATATTATAAAACACAGCTGAACAATATACCACTTGCTATTCCAAAGTCATAGAGTGGACTAAATTAAATAATTTCTTACACATTAAATCCAATATAAGCTAATGAAAAAGCAGCTGATACATATGAAGCATATAGGATTGTCATAATATACTTTAAACAATAAATAAGTTTATAGCTAAAGAATAAAAATACCATGTGTAAAATGAATAAAACTGCCATAAAACTAACTAAATAAGCCGATTAATTTTGAACAATAAGCACCAGCATTGCAAAAAAGCAGGAGAGCATTATACTAAAAAATAATGCTCTTAAAAAAATAGCCTTTGATTATTGAGAAAATCCTAATAGTTTGCTTCATGTATTGGGTTAGGAAACTAAAATGTCCATTATTTAAATAATTATGCCATTTGTTTTATAAGTAATAAAAATTATATTATCAAAACTAATTATGTTCATTATTACTAATAAATGTTAAAAATTATATTTTTGATATTCATAGTAATCCAAAATCATTGTTTTACATTGTTTATTTTATTTAAGTATTAAAAATTTCAACAAAAAAGTAAAGTTAGGAGTTATATTTTAATTTAAGGACTTGCTTAATATATTAAAAAGATTTTGTATATTATTATCTAATAAATGGAAGCTGAATTAAATTTATTATAATTCCAAAGTTAATGAAATTGTATCTATAGAATCATAGGTTTGCTACCTGATAATTTCAGAATCTATTGTAATTTACCTCAATAACATTAAGTTGTTCCATTCATAGATCAAATTGGTAAGTTGAAATTAACTTATTCATACGAATGATTGAGCCAAATTAACTCCATTATTTATTTAAACTTAAAAGAAAAACCAAATAGTACTAATAAACAACACCTGAGATTTCCCTACTTTAAAATCAATTTTCAAAGTTTTAATAAATCAAATTTATATCTTTTAATAAATAATTTTTAATTATAAAAGATATATTAATTTTGCAAAATGAATTTTTATTCTCATATATCTAAAAACAATAAATCAAATTACTTACTTTAAATTGGAAAAAAATCAAATATATACAGCTTATATATTCTGTTTAAATTTAGAGTAAAAATATAATCACTTTAAACAAAATAAGCATATTTATTTAATTTAGTAAATAGTTCATTACTATTGTTATTTTATGTCTTAAAATTTAATTACAAATGTTATAAGATTATTGAAACATTAAAATTATATCTAATTCTGAAGCTTAATTTAAATTGAATTAAAATTCTCTTTAAATTAAAAATACAATTGATAAAAAATTAAATCAATTGATAAGAGTATTTTTAGTTTTATTTCTATAAAACAAAGGATCTATTGGTAATTTTCCATTTATAAAATTGTAAGAGCTTCAAATGAAATAATTAATATTTTAGAACTTAAGAATAGGCTAAATTTAAGCTTTTTTTTTCTGCCTTTAAAAATTTATTATTCTTTGAAAGTAATAAGAAAAAAAGAATAAGTATTATATTCTTTTAAATAAGTAAGAAAATTGAATACCTTAGTTATTGAGAAATTTATAAATATATAAAATAAGAGTTTTTAATTAAAATGATTATAATGATAAATTGCATTGATATTTCTTGATCACAAAAAATTAAAACTCATGATTATTGTTATGTTTGCTAGGATTAAAGTTATTATTGTTATTATTGTTATTATTCTGGACTCTAATTTAAGAATAACATTTCATTAAAGGCAAGGAGAAAGTCTTTCAAATCTTCTTATTTTAAAATTGTGGTCTTTTCTGTCTATTTTGAATTTGTATTATTGAGTTTATTAATTTCAAAGTCTCTTAATTCGCTTTCAACATGTTCAAGCCATATTTTATATGCTTCCTCTTCATTAGTAACTGGTGGCATATTCAATTAAGGAGGTGGTGACATGTATGGAGTATATGAAAATTAAGAAGATGCTACTAAAAAAGTGCCTACCAAAATCACCCATGAATGAAACATTAAGGGTGCATAAGTTCTATAGGAATCCAGAATCAATATTTTGAGAGTATGAAAAGTGGCTTCTTCAAATTTTTTGGGTACACATTTTTTACATATTACTTCAATGTAATCATTTGGTAATTTGATATCAAATTCATATTCAATTACCTTTAAAATTCTGCTTTCAGCTATGCAGAGTTTGTTTTATAATGATTACATTAAAGCCTCATTTGCCATTCTTGTTTGTTCAATTGATTACATAATTTTGTGAAAACTGATTAACAATTTTCTCATTCTTGGATCACCATCTTTAATTTTTTAAGCTAATAAGAGAGAAGCAGCTGCAACAATCTATTATAAATATATAATTTTACAAATCTATCATATTGTAAGTAGCATTTATGATGAAAGAAATAATTACATAAATGAATAGCTAAGGATACTGTAGAATATGAATTTAGTTCTAAATTAATGGCCAAATCAATAATGAATTATGCATTTCCATTTAGTAATTTTCTTTAGACTTAAGCAGAAATATCATATTCTGTGTTAATGTTCTGAAAAATGTCTTTCTTCTTAATTAATTTCATAATTATATTTATATTTATTAAAATCATATATATTTTTTCAAGAATTTTTAATGGATGATGAAGTCCTTTTTTATGATGATCTTGTACTCAAAGGGCCTGGACTTTTTTCAGCCAATTTGAATGTACTCTTTTCAATATGAATGTTTTTTGGTTTAATATTTCTTAATGTTCGAGTGGATTTGGTTGATTAATTTTCATCAGAAGGTTCAGATTCTTATTTGATATTTGTATCATGAGGGGAATCTACAATCATTAATAAGTGTTCATGCACTTATTATTCATTATATTATTTCAAATTAGTTAATAAAGGAGCCATTCGATCATCTGTTGTTATGAGCAAATCTACAGTCATAAAAGTAGAAACCTTTCAATCTTCCTTTTCTTTCTTAACTAATAAGTTATCGTTTATGCAATGTATAAATGCAATAAAACAATCTTCCAAATTCTGTATCAAATTGTTACATAGAAAAAATATATAAATTTTAATACCAAATTAAACATAAATTATTTTAAGTGATTAATGAATAGAATCAAATTAAACAGTCTTTAACAAAAAGTATATATATATTATTATAATTTAGGTGATTCCAGTTATAAGGGATGGATTAAATACAATAATATAAACATCAAGTGGTACAGGAAAGACACTTTGTTATTCTGTTCCAATAATTGAATAGAAAAGATCAATTGTTCTTACTCCAACTAAAGAATTATCAATTTAAACTTATAAGATAATAAGAGAATTAGATCCTAATATAAAAGTATCAAGAATAGGGTCTATTGGATTAATAGCTCCAATAGTTGAAATGATTGTAATATGATAAATTAAAAAAGAGCGATTAAGAAGCTAAAAAATTATAGAATTATGCTAAGGAAAGAATATAGAGAATGAATGATTCTTTGAGAAATTAATTAAATTGGGATTTAATTGATATTTGTATATCAACTCCTGGTTAATTAGCTTAATTAGTAAAATTAGGATGCAAAATTTAAGATGTTAATTGTTTAGTAATAGATGAAGCAGATTTAACTTGGGGGTATATATATATATGATATATATATATAATAGTGATGTAAGTTTTAGAGAGAGTATATATACTATTTAAAGATATCTGAATATAAATTAATTTGTGCTTTGCAATTCAGTGAATACAATTAAGGAAGAGAAAGAATTAAAATCTTTAGATGGAAGCAAATTTACATTTTATATTTCTAAAGACTATATGTAAATGCCAAAAAGGAATATAGAATTTATGAATAAACCACTTGAAGAATATTTAGAAAATCAGAAAACAATTATTTTTGTAGATGGAGAGAAAGAGTGTTAGGATATTTAAAAAATTGTTGGATCTAGTAAATGTTTCCATTCTAGATAATCAGTAGAGGAAAGAATTAGAAATTTAGAAGAATTTAGAACAAAAGAATAGAAGTATTAATAATTAATAAATATAGAACTTTAATATGTACAGGTCTTGGAAGTCGAGGATTAGACTTTCCAGAAGTAACTTAGATTATTTTATATGATCTTCCAAGAAATTATGAGGCATTTCTTTTATAATGTGGGAGATTAAGATAAGAGAATGGAAGAAGTAATTAATATAATAATTATTTAGTTATTGTGAGATTGAAGGATTCTTTTGAATCTGCAATATATAATGAATATGAAAGATATAAATATGTATTTCCAAACAGTTGTGTAAAATTGTGAATAATGAGTTTTAGAAATTATAATTATGTTAATTTTTAGAAGATTGTGTAAATTCTCATCATGTAAAATAATGGCGATTAAATCATAGAATTTAAAGAATCCACTCTGACTGCAATTTCACCTCTTGATGGAAGATATGCCAGTTAAACAGCTGTAATCAAAGATTATTTTAGTGAATATGCATTGATGAAGTATTATAATTCTTATTATATTAGATATCGAATCAAAGTAGAAATTGAATGGTTGAAGTTTTTGCATTCTAAGAATATGATAAAACAAGGAAATTCAGTTTTAAATTTAACTGCTTTAGATTTGACTTATTTGGATTTGATTTATGATAAATTTGATGTAACTAAATCATTTAGAGTTAAATAAATAGAAAGTACAACTAATCATGATGTTAAATCTATTGAATATTATATCAAAGAAGAATTAGATAAAAGTATTTTATTATTATGACATATTTAGATCCAATTTTACATTCAATGAAAGAATATGTTCATTTTTGTTGTACAAGTGAGGACATTAATAATATTGCATATAGTTTAATGATGACAGATGCTAAAAATAATTTACTAATGAAATCGTTAGAAGGAGTTATTAATAAATTAGTACAATTATCACATGATCATTATAATGTTCCTATGTTGAGTCGTACTCATGGTCAAGTTGCATCTCCTACTACTGTTGGAAAGGAATTTGCAAATTTTGCTCATAGAATAAGAAATCATTCAGAATTATTAAGAAATCTTAAATTTGAGGCTAAATTGAATGGTGCTGTTGGAAATTACAATGCTCATTTATTAGCATATCCAAATTATGATTGGCCCATTTTAAGCAAATAATTTATAGAGGAACTTAAATTAAAACATAATCCATTCACTACTCAAATTGAACCTCATGATAGTGTAGCACTCTATTATTCATATCTCAATTTAATTAATAATATTTTAATAGGATTATCAAGAGATGTATGGAGTTATATCTCAATTAATTATTTCGAATAAAAAAGTATTAAATCTGAAGTAGGTTCATCTACTATGCCACATAAAGTTAATCCTATTGATTTTGAAAATTGTGAAGGCAATTTAGGTTTATCTAATTCATTAGCTTAACATTTTATGAATAAATTAGTAATTTCTAGATATTAAAGAGATTTATCTGATTCTACTGTAATGAGAAATCATGGAGTATGTTTAGGATATGCAGTGGTTGGATATAGAAGTTTAATTAAAGGACTTGATAAAATATCACCTAATTATGATACAATTTTAAATGATTTAGAAAATGTATTATTTATATATTTAATTAATATATAGCATTGGGAAGTCTTAGCTGAACCCATTTAATAGATTATGAGATAATATGGTGTTCCAAATCCATATGAATAACTTAAGGAATTAACTAGAGGATAAAAAATAACTAAGGATTCTTTAAGAGAGTTTATTTCAAAATTAGCATTACCTGAAGATGTTAAAAAGAAGCTTATGACTTTGGAACCAAAGGATTATATTGGAAATGCTGATAAAATGGCTAGATTGATATGATTGGTTTTTAAAAAGGAATAATATATAAATTATATTTCAATAAAAGTTCAGCAAGATATTTTCACACTTCTTAGGAATTTAGAATTTTCGTATTGGAGTTAAGAAACCTTAATTAAAAAGATTGTTTATAAATAAATAAATAATGATTAAAATATCTTTGCAATTATATATTTCAGATGAAGAATTTAGAAATTTAGATTATATTTAATATCATAAATGGATTAAAAGGATTTCATTATTGATACTTAAAGTGAATTCTTTACAAAGAAATTTTAAGTTACTCTTACAAAAAGAGAACCAATCAATCATGATTCTTATATGTTTAGATTTGATTTCAAAAATCAAAAAGAGAGATTAGGAATGCAAGCTGTTTAACATATCAAAATTTAGTAAGTTTTATATTTTAATATTGAGTGGTCTTAATATGAAGGGTGAGATTGTTGACAGAGCATACACTCATGTTTTTGAAGATGATGGATATTTTTTAATACCTATCAAAATTTATAGACCTAATGTTCATCCTAAATTTCCAAATGGAGGAGAATTAACTCCATGGTTAGAAAAGTTAGAAGTAATTCTTTATAATAAATTAATAGCTTCATTCAGAATTAACAATTAAAAGATGTGTAGGTAAGTTGCTTTATCATAATAATCAATTTATTGTTAGACCAAAACTTAATAAGACTTGGTAATAATTCAATACAGTATTATTGATTTGTGGAGGAAGTGGTATCACTCCAGCCTATTAATTAATTCGAGCCATATGTAGTAATCCAAATGATAATACAAAGATGATCCTTTTATATGCAAATAAAACTGAATAAGATATTTGGTTATTAAAAGAATTAAATGAATTATCTGATAAGCATAAAGATTAATTTACAGTTCATTACACCTTAGATAATGTATTTATATAATATAATCTTAAAGTTTGATGAGAATTGGAAAGGTCTTAAAGGATTTGTGAGTTTAGAAATGATGACATCAATATTTCCAAAGGCAACTGAAACTACATTAGGAGTTTAATGCGGACCTAAACCAATGAACAAGTTAGTCCTATCGCTTTATGAATAATTTGGATTAAAGAAAGATAATATAGTGAAATTCTGAGTTGGATGTTGTATTAAATAAAAATGTAAATAATTAAGAGTTTTTTAAATTGAACTCAAATTATCAAATAATGACATAGTCTTAGACTCTTGTTTGAATATACCAGACTTTAAGGTTTCAATAATAAACTCTATAAAAAATAACATTAACAATTTGAATATAATCTCAATACTAATTTTAATCATTTATTTGTTTGGCATTTGATTGCTTTGTCTATTTTATCTTTAAGATTTGAATCAATTAAATTATTAACTTATTTATTTTAACATATCTATTTTAATCTTTAATTTAATCTAATCATCTCTTCTTCTTCCATTATTTATTTTCTAAATGTAATATATTATATATACTTATGTAATTCAATTTTCTCTTTTATCATTTATTGTTATTATTATTTATACTCAGCTATTCTTTAATGACTTTCATGTTTAGCATCTTATTTTTTTATTTATACATCTATTTTGGACTTAAATTTTTCATTTAATTTAGCTTACTCTTTTTATTTCTCCATTTCTTTTGTCTCTTGATTATATTTGACTTTCTAAAAATTTATTTCATTTATTTCATGTAATCTTTTAACCTATTCTTCAATCATCTTTTTATATAAATATCTTATTTGATACTTTTTTCTTTCTTTCTGTTCTATCTTCAGTATTTGATCTAATTGTTGGTTTTTTTATTTTTAATAAATTGCTAGTAGATTTTATTTTAGGAATATCCTTCATTTCCTATTTTAAATGTGTATGTGATTTTGATAACCAATCTTCTTCATTCCAATTCAATCTTCTCATTTCTTCATCTTATATAAAATAAGCAGGATCTTCCCCAATCTAATAATTTAGATTAATGATCTAAAATACTTCTAATAATTCTTAATGGGTTAATTACGCTTTCAATTTTTATTGCATTTCTAAAGGAGTTGGAATATTGATATTCATTCTTTAACAATGATGTTTTTCTTCTTAAGTAAATTTCATAGGTGGATGAATTGGTAATAATTATATTAAATTTTGATCTTCTAACTCAAATTCAGTCTTTCTTGTATCAATTTCTGATTATAATCTTTCTATTTTTAAGAATTTGTTGCAATAATTCTAAA